GGTGGAAGGTGTTGAGGTTGGAATGGGATGATCCTTAAGGTGCCCTCCAGCCCAAACCATTCTGGAACTGCACAGTAACAGCCCCAGTGTCTCCCTGAACACAATTCCCAGCACCCCCTGGTCATGCTGTGCTGTGGTGGGTCAGTGTCCCCTCCCTGAGCACAGACATCACATCCCTGCAGCCACACCTGGAACGTGCAGAGCCAAGGCTGGGGACAGTTTGTGTTCCCATGGGAGAAGGGAGGAATCACAGCCACGAGAGCACAACCATCTGTTCCCACCCTCACACCAAGGGGCTGCAGGAGTTGGACTCCACACTCCCAGGGGTCCCTTCCAGCTCAGGATATTCCATGGTCCTCCAAGTGCTCCCAAGACCCACAAGGGTCTCCCAGCACAGAGCACTTGGATCTCACCAGCTTTAACTGGAGGTGAAGGCCACAGGCAGCCCCTCTGAGGGGCTCCCGGCTCAGTGATCCATCCCTGCTCTCAGATCCCAACAGGAAGGATGGGGATGGGCAGCACCAGCCCCCAGGAATGCCTGCCAGGGAGATTGGTCTGGCAGGCCAAGGTGGTTCCCAGCGCTCTCCTTCCCAACCCATCTGTACTCCTGGGGTCCCTCCTTACCCCTGGGGGCACAGCAGAGGCCCCAGAAACAAGCAGGTGGCTGGAACAGGCCGGGGGTGGAGGAGCTGCTCTCCCTCAAGAGCAGGAGGAGGAGGAGCAGCCCACTGGAGCCCCACCCTGGGGTGCCAGAGCCCCCTGCACCCACCTTCACGGCCCCTCCTGCCGGCGAGTGTCCCACATTGTCCAGAGATCCCACTTTGGCTTGGGCCTTCTCTTTGAAGTTCAGCTTCTGGTTCTCAATTTTGACATCTCCTCCCCCTGCAAGGACATGTGCAGGGGTGAGTTCAGGAAAGGTCCCACGAAGGTCCCACCCCTCCCCAGCCCCCCCAGGGAGCTGCTGGGGACCCTTTGGAGGAGGGACAGGACCAAGGAACACCTTCACTGGCTCAGTCTCTCCCCAGTTAAGTCTGGTTTAGAACTGGCAGGACCAAAGTTGGT